CTCGTCCACGTAAACAGACCTCAAGAGTGGAATTGCCTGGTTTTGGGGGCCCAGAAATGGCAGTCACCAGGCTGCAGACCCATCCCTTCACAGGGACTTGAGGAATCCGTGAATGCCAGAACGCACAGAGGCCGTCTAGCAGTGAGAGAGTGTACCAGCACCATTCCAGCCGGCTGGAAGGAAAGCACTTGAATGCTGGCATTACCTGCAGGGGTGCGGGGTCAGAGATCACAGCAGGATGGTGCTGCGCCTGCCCCATGACAAGCACCGCAGGCGCGGTGGGAGGAAACACAAGGGGCATCAAAAAGGTCGTGGAAAGTGGAATGAGAAGAGAAGCTTATTTTTGCACGAAAAAAAGAAAAAAAACCAACCTTGAAATCCATGCATAGTTTTTTTTTTTCATGATACACATTTTCCATGAACTTTTTTTTCTTTTTTTTTTTTTTGTATTTCGACAGGCAGAGTGGACAGTGAGAGAGAGAGACAGAGAGAAAGGTCTTCCTTTGCCGTTGGTTCACCCTCCAATGGCCGCCGCGGCCGGCGCGTTGCGGCCGGCGCACCGCGCTGATCCGATGGCAGGAGCCAGGAGCCAGGTGCTTTTCCTGGTCTCGCATGGGGTGCAGGGCCCAAGCACCTGGGCCATCCTCCACTGCACTCCCTGGCCACAGCAGAGGGCTGGCTTGGAAGAGGGGCAACCGGGACAGAATCCGGCGCCCCGACCGGGACTAGAACCCGGTGTGCCGGCGCCGCTAGGCGGAGGATTAGCCTAGTGAGCCGCGGCGCCGGCTTTCCATGAACTTTTTCAAAATCCCCCTCATGCTGTCCAGGAGTCCAGAAGAAGCCGGAGCCCTGGAGGGACCCCCATCATTTTCCAAGTAAGCAACACCAAAGAGGAAAGGCGCAGGCAGAACACCCTCAACAGTTCCCTCCTCCTACTTGGATTTCCAGCCAGAAGCTCTCATTGAGCCAAGCGGAAGCCAGCCAGGCAGAGACCCTGAGGTCCAGTCCACAGGGTTAGCCTCCTGGACACAGAGGAGGGCAGGGAAGGATGGAACATGGAAATGGGACAGCAAGCAGAGACCAGCCAAGACGGTGGGCTAAGATCCACCTGAGGCTTGTAGGCGATGAATGACAAAAGGAAGCACACGCAGGAAGGCTGCCTCAATCCAGCTGCCTCCGCAGCTCGTAGCAGGGATCTTACTCCCCACCTTGGCAAGATGAGCAAGTGCAATGAACGCTCAACATATTCCTCCAGAACTCTCAGCAGGTCAAGTTTATACCGAAATTACATGGCAAAGCTGGGATGTTTAGGAAAGTAACAATGAAAGGGAAATATCCTGTTTATCTGAGCCTGCTTCTTACCAACGTAGAGAGAACCACTCTCCTGTGAGTGTGCTCCAAGCATTAAATGAGATGATGTATATGAAGTGCCTAACGTGGGGCCTGGAACCAGCAAGCATTCATTGTTTTCTGTTGCTATTGTCACCATCCTACGTGTCATTGGACTCAGGACACACTAGATGACAATGTTATAAATGGAGCCTGCTTCTGAATGGATTTCACATCATATGGTTTACTAATGACAGGTTCTAAAAAATTCTAACCTGATCTAAAATATTCAGCCTATAGACTTTCATAGGGATCTACCAAAAACATAGTACTGTCATTTAAACTATAGTTTACAAATACAAAGCATTGAAACTGGCACTGTGGTGCAGCGGGTTAACACCCTGGCCTGAAGCACCAGCATCCACATGGGTGCCAGTTCAAGTCCCGGCTGCTCTACTTCCAATCCAGCTCTCTGCTATGGCCTGGGAAAGCAGAGGAAGATGGCCCAAGTCCTTGGGCCCCTGCACCCACGTGGGAGACCAGGTAGAAGCTCCCAGCTCCTGGCTTTGGATCGATGCAGCTCCGGCCATTTTGGCCAACTGGGGAGTGAACCAGTGGATGGAAGACCTCTCTCTCTCTCTGTGTAACTCTGACTTTCAAATAAAATAAATAAATCTTTAAAAAAATGCAAAGCATTTCCACAATCCTGATTGCACCAATACACTAAGGGTATCCAGGAATTGCTATTTTAAGAAAGGAAAACTGAGATTTAAAGGGACACAACCAATTTTTGACTCCACAAGTACATCACAATCATCTGACTCCCCCTCATTGCGACCTCCTATCTATTAAGGACATATTTTAGAATCTACCAAACGGTTAATGTGAACATGAGGTTTAACCAAGCACTACCTGTGAATTTATATCACGTCATTTCCATGGTTTATCTTTCCCTGTGAAAGACTACTCATGATTATGTTTCTTTGCTTTATCAGAAGAAACAGAATCTCGGGGAAAAATCCCCACCGTAGGAGCCGGTGTTATTGCATAGCGGGGAAAGCTGCCGTACAATGCCAGCATCCCCTATGGGCGCCAATTCAAGCCCCAGCAGCTCCACTTCTGATCCAGCTCTCTGCTAGTGGCCTGGGAAAGCAATAGAGGATGACACAAGTGTTTGGGCCCCTGCACCCACGTGGGAGACTTGGATGAAGCTGCTGGCTCCTGGCTTTGGCCTAGGGGGAGTTGCAGCCATCTGGGGAGTGAACCAGCAGACGGAAGATCTCTCTCTCTCTCTCTGTAAATCTTTTAATAAATAATTCTGAAAAAAAAAAAAATCCCCACCACTGAGTTGTGCTGATCTAACTCAATGCAGTAAAGACTGCTTTCTCAGCACTGGGGACAAACACTCAGAGATGCTGCCCCCTCTGTCCTATCATGTCCAGGCCGATGAGGCAAGCTGGAGTCCTTCCAGCCCCTCTCTCCCTGGGCAAAGTACTCTTCCTGAGCTCCGCATTCTTCAAAGTACCAGGTTCTCCTCTCCCCCCCTCCCCGTCAGTTCCTCCTCTGAAGGCACTATCTGAAACCAGAGAGGTGCAAAAGTGAGATAAGAGATTTCCCAAGCTTTATAAGCATCAGATCACGGTATATTTCACACACATGGTGAATCATGGTGAAATCAGGATGTGACTCACATATAAGCAGCTTATGAAATTACACCTAAAAGCCAAGGGTTGGAGAAAGACCAAGTGACTTAGGTGGGTCCTATTTTCATTGCCAGAAAGAAAAAAATCAAAGGGAGGACTAGGATCAGACTTGGAATATTTAACAAGAGTTCTTAAAATACAGGCTACTTGACTGGTCGTGGAGGTGGGATGTGACAAGGCCAGTCAGTCGGGCTGCTCTGGAAGAAAGTGGGGCCCATTGGTTTTGAGCAGAGCTTTGGAGCCACACAGACCTACTCAAGACTCCCAGTGCTGCCCTCACCTGCTATATGACCTTGGACTTGTTAAACTAGCAGGTTGGGCCTCAGTTTCCTTGTGTAAGATGGAATTCATCTAAATACTGTGTGCTGATACAACCCACATTCATTTGCTTAATACAGTGCCCATTACAGCCAGAGCACTCAATGAATTTTAACCATTATGACACTTTCAGCATTCTTGTTACTCAGCCTGATTTTATCATACCAAATTCAGCTGCCCCAAAGATTTGGTATAAAAACAAGAGCATTCCTGTTAGTGGAAGGTTCATGTCCCCTTGAATTCAATGCGGAAGCCTAATCCCCCATGTAATGGTGTTCAGAAGTGGGGCCTCAGAAGGCAATTAGTGCTCTTAAAGAGACAAATGTGTGCTTTCTCTCTCTGCCATGTGAAGACACAACAGGTAGAGGGCCTGCACCAGAACCTGATCATGCTGCAGTCCTGATCTCAGACTTCAGTCTCCAGAACTGTGAGAAATTAACATCTGTTGCGTAAGTCCATGGTATTCCATTACAGCAGACCAGAATAATTGAGTCAGGATGAATTGCTCAACTACCCAAATAAATTCAAGGTAAACAAGAGCATATTTAATGTTGCAACATGGAAGAGTTAAGAGTAGACATTGTATAAAAAAGGTACCACAAATTCTGAAGTGAGAGAAACACATGCCTGTGAACAAGCAGGCAAAAATCAATCTGTGCTCATGTAAAACATACATGACAGGGACTGCACCAAGATGACCTATTTTCACTTCTTATGCCTTCAAGGCTGGTGAGGGCCTGCTTCCTTCCCATAACCACTCAGCACAGAAGCCTAGTTCCTGTCCTTCTAATTCAGTTCAACACAGCTTGGTTTAGTTATGGTTGCTTCTTGGTGTTTCGGAGATGTCTCTACAATCAGGAAAGTGTAGTGTAGCAAGGCAGATGCGAGTCCCATCCCTGGGGAGGTCTTCGCACTGATTCCTTGTCTGACCTCTGAGGGTTCCCCGGGGGAGCCCTTAAGCTTGGCTGTTGCTGCAGTCACAGGTGTCACCGGTGTGCTCTTGCCCAGGTGATGGCAGAACCACTTGACTTGCCCTCTATGGGCTTCCTGTCCTCCTCTGCATACCCCGGAACCACCACCTCCTTCCTCATTCAGATCTAGACTTCCCAGCTGCAGACTCCCATTTCCCTTCCATAAGAAGGAAGGAACAGCTTAGGGGATGGCCAACTTCAGTGAGTAGTAACGCATCCCTACTAACATGTTAAACACCCCAAAGATAAGTCTTAAAAACCTGTGTTAGTTATTTAAGACCCTTTGGTATGTGAGGGACAGCAGCAGGATCACAGGGATATCAGGGGATATGAGCTTCCATCTCCTCCCCTTCCTGGTCAGCTCTTCAGCCCTCCGATACCAACACCAAGAGCTGGAGACAGATCAAGGGACATGGTGACCCAGAGTCAAGGGCAAGCCATAGGACTGGAGGCCTGAGATGTCTGGGTGAAGGCAAATCTGTCAACACCAAAGAATTGAGGGAACCGTTTCACCTGAGACTAAGATCTGGGTCCCAGGCTTTTTACTGGATATGGAAGAGAGGAGACAGAAGGAGAACGCAGTGTGGAGATGAGCACAAACTTGATTTTTTACACTGATTACAGCTACAAAGAATAGGCCACATCAGGAAATTGAAAAATTGGTTTCCTTATGTCAGCTTAATTCTAGCCCTCATCATTTATTGCAACTGCTTTTCCTTTTGTGTGTAATGGTCATGTTACACCATAATGATACACATATTCACAAACACAGTTCAGAGTGGTTCTAAGTTTTACTTGATTAGGGCAGTAAACGACACATTTTCATAACTTCTTCCTCAAATTACATTGTCTTCTGTTCTCCAGTTTTACAGATGAGCAACATCACCACTCTAAAGCTGTTAGAGAGAATGGGGTGTGAAGGGTGTGTGTGTGTGTGTGTGTGTGTGTGTGTGTCCCTATATATTCAGTGTTACTCCTGATAACTTTGTGTTACCTGAGCATTTGCTGCATAGCTTTCTAGATTCCCTGTGCTTAGAACTTGTGCTTTCACTCAGGCACTTCACAGTCACGAAAAAATAAAAGCTGTAAGTTGTACTTTTCTTCCCTTATACACATATAGGTAGACACCTTCCCAACTATTCCGATTAGTTCCTCAAGTTAATAACTTATGTTGCCATGCCAGCTGAGCTGAGAGTTTGAATGAGTGTGAACTTGTCAAGTGAACCTGTCCGCTTTCCTAAGCCCTGTTCCCAGTTAGGAGCCACCAGATCAGACGAGGGAAGCAGCAGCTGGAATTCCTGCTTCTCACTTCTGCTCCAGGTTCTGCAGCTAGACGCACAGCTGTCTGGTTCTCTACTCACAAGGGTTTCCTTCGATGTCTCGGTGGATGAGACAGGAAATACTTAGTGTGTGACCGGAGTTCTGTGAGTGAAAAGTAATGTTGTAAATAAGAAAGGCTCCTCTGTAACTACACAGAACTAGTGGTAACGTTGGGATCGTTAGGCGGCACCAAAATATCTTAGCTATGGAGCTGTCTTCTATTTACAACTCTGTATAACAGGGAGGTGGAAAATGAATTTCCAGGATCAGTTTATGGTCATTTTAGTAATTCCAACAAAATGACTGTTTCAGGCAAAAACACTAACACTGCAAACACACGGCAGAGCCCTGGGAGGTTCGTGTCACTCATCTAGTAGCTGGTGTGCGTGAGTACGCAGGGAAAAGCATTCCAAGTGGGAAAACTAATGGGATTCCAAAGCTATCTACTTCGTTGTTATTTAAATAAAATGTGTGTTTAAATATGGAATATTTTGGAAAACAAACTTTGTGATTCAAAATGATGGACATTATTTGGGACACTGAGTTTGCTTTTTTTAATTCTAGAGGAAATGCTCATGACAGTTTCCCAAGGACTTTTCTGGCCAGACTGGGGGCAAGGAGCTCATCTGCAGAGTGCGGTTAGGAAGATCGTCCAGTGGTCAAGTCCAGTGGGTAACCAAGGTCACTCGGGATGCCCTTAAGACACTTGGCCCTTGTCGGTGTGCCCGCTCTCCCTCTCCCCATCAGTCCTGGGGTGAGTGCGAGGGTGGTGGATGAAGAGTCTTGGGGGTTAGAAGATCTTGCACTCATTAATGGAGAACAGCCTCCTCCTGTTCCGCCTCCTGGCCTGGTTGACTGCAGTTCGAACAGCACACTCAAATACCTGCTGGACCCCCCTGTTGCTAAGGGCTGAGCACTCCAGGTAGCCCTTGGCCTTCACATCCTGGGCCAGTCTCTTCCCTTCGATGGCATTGATGCAGGAGGCCCTGTGGGGCCCTATCTCCCGCTGGTCTGTCTGCGTGGCCACCACCAGCACCGGAGTACAGGGCAAGTTGCTCCTGATTTCACCAATCCACTTGTTCTTCAAGTTCAAGAACGAGTTGTGGTTGGCCACAGAGTAGCACATCAGCACCACATCCGCCTGCTGGTAGGACAGGGGGCGGATGCTCCGGAAGGCGTCATTGCCTGCCGTGTCCCACAGGCCCAGGCTGATCTGGATGCCATCCATGAAGACATCCACGCCCGTGTTCTCGTACACCGTGGGCTTATAGGCCTCGGGGAAGGTCTCGGAGGTGAAGCGCACCAGCAGGGAGGTCTTGCCCACAGCGGAGTCGCCCACCAGCACGCACTTGATAGAGCTCAGCATCTTGCCCGCCCGGTGTCCCACTGTCAAGGGCAGGATCCCAGGAAAAGGAGCTCTCAGTGGGCCGCGGGGGCCAACGCCATCCGGCCCCTGCGGCAAGGGAGATGGGCCGTCTGCTTTGAAAAGCTTCAAGAAGTCTAGTGTGCCACTGCAACAGAAAGACAAGGGGGGAGGTTGAGTACTGTGTTTCCCATTTGGGATGACAAGGAGCTTCCTCAGCAGCAAACTGATACATAGGGGGCCCATCTCAGGTAGCTGCACCGCCCGCTTATCCGCAAAGACAGCTAAGACCACGGTGCCTGCCCGCCCAGAGGCAGAAGCTGGTTGCATCTCTAAAATCAGCCGCTCTGATTGCAACGTTACAAAACAAACAAAAAACAACGTAGCAACCTGGGGTGGGTCAGACGTGTTCAGCTTCAGCTCCGAGAAGTGGGGGAGGCAGCTGAGTGTGCTCTAGGCGGCTTCAGTTTCCAGGAGATTCCAGCAGCTTCGGGAACTACAAGAGAGAGACACGTGGTGATGAGCCACAGACACCGTATGCTTTCCCCTTCATCTACCAAGTCTTTGGTTCACGCAGGAGCTCGTGTTGAGGCAGGAGAAAGAAATTGCCAGAATCTTAGCAGTTTGCCATGGTCTTTGCCTGGAGGATTTTTCCCTAAAACTGGCCACCGTCATAATGGCCTGTCCTTGGCATTTTCTTACCCACAAGCGGCACAAGGAGCTCAGCCCTGGAGGCAGCATCCCACATGCCAGCTGCACCTGTTAGCTCAAGGCCAGCCCGGCCTCAGAAGGAGAAAAAGCACCTCGGACCCAATTCCGAGCAAAGGCCGTTACTGCATCCGGGCGTAGCATCTCCAGCGCTGGCTCCGCCTGCCGTGTCACTCGTAAAGCCACGAGAAGACACCTGCAGGTCTGCTTTAAGATGGAACTTTTACAATCACCCCTCTAAATCCTGACTTTCCCTTCCAGGATGTTTTAATCCTTGTAAACCCACATTGTTTAATTATACGTATCAGCCTTATAAATGGGAAAGTCAAATAAATGAGCCACATGATTTTTATGTTTTTTTTTTTTTTAAACCCACATAAGCTGAGCGACCTCGGACAAGTGACTTAACCTCTCTGAGGTTGAGTTCTCCCATAAAAACAAGTTCTGTAGGGAGCTGTCTTGTTAGCTCTTTTTCCTGTTATTGACTTAAAACACCAAATAGCAACTGTCCATCACACGGGGGCTGGGATGCCAGATGCTCAGCTACACTCTAAAACTCTACCGGAGGCCGGCGCTGTGGCACAGTGGGTAAAGCTGCTGCCTGCAACACCAGCATCCATACAGGCACTGGTTCGAGTCCTGGCTCTCTGCTATGGCCTGGAAAAGCAGCGGAAGAAGACCCAAATGCTTAGGCCCCTGCATCCACGTGGGAGATCCGGAGGAAGCTTCTGGCTCCTGGTTTCAGATAGGCCCAGCTCTGGCCATTGCAGCCATTTGGGGATTGAACCAGCAGATGAAAGACTTCTCTCTCTCTTTCTCTCTCTCTCTCTCTCTCTCTCTCTGCTTCTCTGTAACTCTGCCTTTTAAGTAAATAAACAAATTTTTTTTAAATTAAAACTCCTACCAGGTTATCCTCATGCACCATGGTCCTGGACACCCATTTATAATCAGACTTTGAGGAAGGTGGTTTGTAAGCTCTCAGACTTTAGCTCCTTAGGTGGAGGGGCAACTTAAGTGTATGGATTTGCGATTAGTCCAGAGCCAAGTCCTCAAGACTTTTTTTTTTTTTTTTTTGACAGGCAGAGTGGACAGTGAGAGAGAGAGACAGAGAGAAAGGTCTTCCTTTTGCCGTTGGTTCACCCTCCAATGACCACCATGGCCGGCGCGCTGCAGCCGGCGCATCGCGCTGATCAGAAGCCAGCATCCAGGTGCTTCTCCTGGTCTCCCATGGGGTGCAGGGCCCAAGGACTTGGGCCATCCTCCACTGCACTCCCGGGCCTTAGCAGAGAGCTGTCCTGGAAGAGGGGCAACCGGGACAGAATCCGGCGCCCCGACCGGGACTAGAACCTGGTGTGCTGGTGTTGCAAGGCGGAGGATTAGCCTATTGAGCCACGGCACTGGCCAGCTCAAGACATTTTTAAGTTTTGTTTTGATCCCAATGAAGCAAGACTAGAACCACTGAGAATGTGCATACATCAGACGGTTGGTTACTCCAGTGATGTCTTTCTTATAGAGTGAGCTGATGCCAGATTTCTCCGTGTACATCTTCAGTGAAAGGAAGTCAACAAGGCATGATAAGAACATGAACTTGAAAATCGGGTTCACGTGGAATGGACTCCAGTCTGCCCCAAGACCACCTGCGTCAACCAGGCCAGGAGACGCCTCTGGAAAACTTTCCTAACTTCTGTAAACCTCGGTTTCCTCCCACGTAAAATGTATGGATAACGTCTACATCGCACGATCTCAGAGCTGTTGAGAGTATTATGATTAAACGTACAGCAAGGATCTTTAGCATAATGGATAATATAAACATGCTATATGAATAATATTGCCAAATAATCATTACTAAATATGATGATGCACAATTATTCACTAAGGAGTGGAAGTTGAAGGAACACTAAAGAGAATTCTCCAGCGAAGGCTGCTTTGTGTATCCTACACCCAGCCATGACCACAAGAAACAGAGTTCTTCTTGTAGGGTAAAAACACAAAGATTATGGACCAAAGACACTGCTGTCTGAGCTTTGCCAGCCAGAGCTCTGCTCAGTCAGGGGTGACACAGGCAGCCCCCCGAGCTGGCTTGGGCTCTCAGGTTCTGGGTGTCCCCAGGTGCAAACGTGGAGAGACAAGGTGAGGCTTTCCTGGTAAAGCAGCCCCGGCCACAGCAAACACACGCGCAGAACCTGTTGCCCGATGCCCAGCGGCCAGGACAGCGGCGAACCCGTGGACCCCAGAAGATGGCCAGAGGCGTGGCTCGCGGCTGAGCCCGCTCCATCTGGCTTAGAGCCACACCCCACGTGGACAGGAGTGAACCCGCACAGCAGCACACGTGGCCCACGCGCGGCCAGATATGGCTCATGCGGTCACGGGCATATGGTTGATAGGCTTGATTGCAAGAGGGTCTCCCCCTTTAAGCCGAAGGGACTTCTGGGGGAAGATGAAAGAAGGTTTGTGGTGGTGTCCGGGGGTGAGGTGGGGGACTGGCTCACTGGCAGGGCCGCCCAATGACCCAGCTCTCTGCCCGGAAGCGCTCTGGCCAGTGTCTCCAGAGAGTGTCCCCTGTGAGGACACGGGCAGCCCTTGAGGCTATTCCTCCCAGGGCTTGGATCAGACTGGAATTAAGGAACCTTTGATCTCAGAGCCGCCAGGGCCTCAGGAACAGGACTGTTCTGGCCCCTTCTCCTGCTCCACCATTTTCACAGGGTGCCTGTCCTGGCCCCAGGGTTCACACACAGGGGAGGCGGCTCCCTCCAGGGCAGAACCTTGGTGCCTCTACTCACTGTCGCCAGCAAAGGATCAAGGGCAGACAAAATCCATTTCCTGCCCTGTGGCAATCCTGGTTTCACCTTGGCCTCCACTCTTCTCTGCCTGCAGACACACTCTGTGCCTCTCTGTGTGCCTGGAGGGACCTGCCCCCGACTGCTCCCCAATTTCCAACCCCACGCTCCTGCCCCCCCAGCCCAGGTGCCCCTACTGCATGGCCACAACACCCTCAATGTATGCTGCAGACATCCTCTTGCCCTGCTGAAGTGGCTGGGCTTCTGTGTTTGCCCTCCACTGGTGAAACGGGAGTGAGATCTGCGCCAGCCGCTTCATAGGGAGCACGGGCGCACCGGGTGGAAGCGAAAACAAGGCAATCATTTGTGCTTGAACCTGATGCTTCGTCCATTTGGAAATGCTGGCTTGTTTGGGGAGAAGGTCCCTCTAGAGTGAAACCGCATGATAAAAACCAAGGTGACACTGGGGGTGTTATCAGCTAACTGTTGCTACTGGCAGTTTTCGGGGTGGCTGGGGTTTGTAGGAGGTGGTGTATTTCAAAACGTTGACAGAGTCATCGTTTGGGAGCCCACAGCGGCCGGCAGCCAGCAGCCAGCAGCCAGCAATGGCTTTGTCAGTTAGAGATCACATGGAAATGCCCTCCTCAGAGAGCTTTGGATGGCAAAGGCCTGGCACTGGCCACAGCCGGTTCATTCACTCGGAGTCCGTGTGCATGAACCATGCCCATTTAGATGGCTAGGAAGTCATCACGGCCCTCAGCAACGCATCTCTGCCGGTGCCTTCTGCCAGCTCTGCTCCCCAGCCATGCCGGGACATGACGGCAACAGCCGGCCCAGGACGGCAGAACTCACGCAGAGACCCCGCCTGGCAAGAGTCTGGGTGCTCTGCTTTCATCTCTTTGCCTTGCGGGGAGAGAAGATCAATGCACAAAATCTTAGGGCACATCCTCGAAAAAAGCAGAACCCTCTCTAAACTTCCCCACGCCAGACTGTCACTCTGTTGTACTCTCTAGTAAACACACACATGTATATGTCTTCTAAACATATTTCAGATTTAAAATTTTGTCTATTCCAGCAAAGTCTACACACTTGCCAGTTTTTAGCTCAACAGCTTCCCTGTTGCTTCAGAAATTCACAATTGCAGTTACTGCTCATTAGGATGGTGCGTGAGTCCCAGTACTTCCCTCTATCACTTTATGTGTGTATGCTATAGAATGTTAGATATGCAGTGTACACTCAGGTGTCACCTTCAGGTGGGGTGTTTTTCTTGGGGGACGTATTCACAAGTGTGAGGCCTTATGGGGTCAATGGGTCATTTTGTGGCTTCTTTCCATTTCCTGAGCATCTTCCATACTTAGTACTACACTTAGTACTATACTTAGTACTCGGCTAGTATTAGTCGTTAATCCTGTCATTCGTTCAGGGCATCCTGGGTGACAGGCATGCATCGTGACAGGTCCTGAGGACCCGACAACTGTATTCATGGAGACTCTGTCACAACTCCAAGAACTTTGGGGGCTGAGGAGCTTGTCTTAGTCACACAGCGAGGAAATGGCAGAGACGAAGGTGGATCCAGATCAAGTGCGGGCACCTCCTTGTGTCACCACACCTGTGATTCCCACGAGCCCTCGCCACAGCATCTCAGATCCACTGCTTCCCACGCAAACCCACCTGCAAGACATTTTCCCACGCTCTCCCTCCCAGCCTATTCTCTTCCTACAAACAGACCAGCACTGGAGATGTTTAGAGGAGGGCACTGTCTCTCAAGATGGATGCTGATTCCACAGTGGGCTCGCTTGTGAGAACTCATCAACCTGTGGACATACAGTGTGTCCACTTTTCTGTGTGCAAATTTAAAAATAAAAAAATAAAGACTGCTGCCTTGTAGTGGATGTCTTCTCAAGTGGTATTTCAAGTTTTATCTTAAGCAAGAGTTCTTTTCACTAATTCTTGGTACTACTTTAATAATTCCTTCCAAGCAATTGCTAATTGCTACAAATGACTAAATTGC